AGATTCAGCACCTTTCTTTTTAAGGGGGTCAGATTCAGCACCTTTTTTTTTAAGGGGGTCAGATTCAGCACCTTTTTTTTTAAGGGGGTCAGATTCAGCACCTTTCTTTTTAAGGGGGTCAGATTCAGCACCTTTCTTTTTAAGGGGGTCAGATTCAGCACCTTTCTTTTTAAGGGGGTCAGATTCAGCACCCTTTTTTTTTTAAAGGGGGATCAGATCCCATCAAAATTTGAACTGATGACCCCATCGGACATTAAGGGGGTCAGATCCGTCAAGATTCAGCATGATCTGTAAAAGAAAGAAAGAAGACGAAAACAAAACTGTGCCACATGGCACGGTCATGTGGTGCGATTTTGCACCTTCAGTTTTCCCCCCGCACCCCCCCAGTTCCCCCCTAACCCTCCCCCATAACAACTGCCACACCCATCTTCCGTTTCCCTCATCCTAAATCTCCCACACCCTCCGCTCCCACCCCATTGCATTCCAACTCAGAGTCCTTCACGTCGTCGTCTCCCTCCCATTACCTTTTCCTCCTCTTTCGGAACCCAATCCCATCATTTGCTCTCTCTCTCTCTCTCTCTCTCTCTCTCTCTTCCCCCCCCATTTGGTCCCATCATCATGTCGCTTCTTCTGCCTTTCGCTATTGGAGTCAGCAAAGAAAGAAAAACGAAGCCACCATAGCCTGTTTCTGCCCCCTTCCCCGATTCCTGACGCCATTACTATCTTACCTTGTCCTCCTCAATCATGCTCCTTATCTTTCATCTTCACCGTCGTCTTCATAGTCATTTTCATCAATCCTGAGAGAGAGAGAGGTGTTCTCTCTCTCTCTCTCTCTCTCTCTCTCTCTCTCTCTCTCTCTCTCTCTCTCTCTCTCTCTCTCTCTCTCTCTCCCCTCCTCTCTCTCTCTCATGCACACACACGCACACACTCTTTGTGTGGCTGTGTGAACTCCACAAAAAAAAGCATGACTGTGCCAGACTGTTTCGTTGGACTTTCACCAACTCATCAGGAAGTTGAACCCCGACAGTCCGCCCACGATGCATTTACCTGCATGCGTGAATGCATTTGTGTGTGTGTTTGTGCGTGTGCTTGTGCGGGCGGGCGTCCGTGTGAGTGTGTGTTGTCTCGTTCGCGTCTGTGTGAGCAGTAGAGTACATGTTGCCTTGCCCGCTATTCAAAAAAGAAAACTATGCCCCGCATGGGACCAGTTTTTCCCCAGGCTGGCAGCCCTACGATGGGCCCTCTTTTCAACGGCCGCCACTACTCAGGCCGCCTGCGGTCCTACAGGGCCGCTGGCTCGGATCGTCCGGCTATCTTAAGACTTTAAAACCACGCGACGATCCAAGGCGGACGGCCTGGATCGTCGCGCGATCCTAAAGTCTTAAAGCCTTACGATCGCGCGGAAATCCGGACCGTCGGGCCGGTAGGACCGTGGGCGGCCCGGATTGCCCAATTCTCACGTTAGCGATTTCTATGTGTAGGGAAGCACATACCTTATTCTGATGACCCGAGTACTCATTCAAAAGCTCCCCTGTCCTCCTAAACACAACAACAACAATAAAATCATCATCATCATCATCATCATCATCATCATCATCATCATCATCAACAACAACAACAACAACAACAACAACAACAACAACAGCAAAGGCAATTGCAACAACTCCAGAAACAAGAAGAAGAATCGACAAAAGAAAATATAACTACAGAGACTACTCAAAAAATTGCTGATCTTGAGTCAAAATTACTAAGCTTCATGGAACACCGCTGGCAAGGAGTCAGGATCCGAGGAAAAATAAGAGGTCATGATACGGAGGGGGTCATGGATGCGAGATTCTTTGCCACAGCAAGAGCGAGAACTGGCCGGACCATCATTGAGGCTTTCCAGGACCCCCATGGAGATCAGCACTCTCTTGTCACATCTACAGCAGAATGCACAAAAATTGCCAGAGACTTCTACAAAACCCTATTCACTTCAGGATGTAAACAACCGAAGGATCAAAGGACCAAGGAGGTAGAGGACTTCCTATTGCCACTAAACAAATCCTTAGCAGAGCAACAAAAGTCCATACTTGAGAATCCCCTAACGAAAGAAGAAATATGGGCGGCCCTGATGATGATGGATGAGGAAAAAAACCCAGGGATTGATGGCCTCCCTAAGGAATTCTGGGAAGTCATGTGGGATTTTTTATCCCAAGATTTAATGGATTTCTATCAGGCAGTTTGGGAATCAGGCTCAATGGGGGAGATAGTGGGACAAGGAGTACTCACCCTATTATACAAGAAAGGAGATAAAGCAAACATCCGCAATTATAGACCAATTACGCTACTCACAGTGGTGTATAAGCTGGCAACTCTAGCGAACCTCTTGATGAAAGTAATGTCTGACATCATTCATCCCACTCAGACTGGTTTTATAGAAGGGAGGAATATCCAGGATGATATCCTGCTAGTGAACGAACTAGTTAAACTCTCAAGACAATCAAAACACAATGCGGCTTTCATCTTCATAGATTTCGAAAAAGCCTACGATCATGTTGACTGTTTTTTTCTGGATAAATGTCTACAAAAGTTCAACTTTGGGCCTAATTTCAGAAGATGGATTGAGATCCTTCACTCGAACGCCACTACCAGAGTAATGATCAATGGTAACTTAGCGCCGCGCCTCCTATAGAACTGGAACGGTCAGTAAGACAGGGTGATCCAATTGCCCCCTTCCTATTTGTCATCTTGATGGAAGCCCTTGCAGCTAACCTAAGATGCAATAAGGATATCAAAAGGATTCAGGTCAGCTATTTACCAGAAGAGGCCATACCTATATGCTCCCTGTTCGCAGACGACCTATCCTTGGACTGACGCCACCCAAGAAAATTTAATAGCTATTAAGAGACTAATGGATAAAGTTTGTGCCCTCTCAGATATGAAAATTAACTGGGGCACGAAGACTCAAGGCTGGTGGTTACATCATCAGGGAGTGAGACCTCCAGAACTGCCTAAGATAAACTGGGTACCAGCAACAACTCCAATCAGGGTTCTAGGGATTTCACTTTCGGCAGATGGCAAACCATCAGGGAACAATGAATGAATAAGCAAAGCTGCTCTAGCCAAATTGGAATTATGGAAGGACAAACGGACCTCGATTATAGGGAGGTCACTAGTGATAAATAATGTCATCCTGGCCTCGATATGGTATAAATCTGCAGTATGGGCCCTGGACAAGGCAGCACTCAAACCCTTACAAAGAAAAATCATTGCCTACCTCTGGAGAGGTAACCACAACCACAAAAACGTGATAAGTAGAGTGGCCTGGCAGGCGGCGATTCAGCCCAAGACGAAAGGTGGGCTAGGTATTCTAGATCCCGCCACCCAAGCGATGGCCCTATCGATCCAGTGGATTAAAAGGTTAATCTTTAATTCGGAGACCCCGTGGTTAGCCCTGGCCGAAGAACAGATTTCCAAACTTGCGCCAGAAGTACCAAGCGGGACTGACCCTCTGATTTGGCTAGAAAATCGGTACTGGTCCATCCCAAGATCCACATCACAACGGCCGAGACAGAAAATGGAGCCCCATCGTCACGCTATTAGAACATACATTAAAAATGACCCATTTTGGACAGACCTTCTTAAGATATGGCGCAAACTACCCCTTCCGGATAAAATTTCTCTGACTAGATGGGAGGAAGTTTGTCAGCAACCACTGTTCAACAATAGACGGAGCACTGACTCACGAGGTAGAATGCTTCACTGCATGGACTCGCCCTGGAGGGGGTGGGTAAAGCAAGGGGTACTAAGGATTGGAGACATTTGGGATTCAAATTCAGCGGACTGGCACTCACTTCCCGACCTCTTGCCTAGCCTACGATACTGTAGGAATACAGCAAGAGCACTGGAAAATATCACTGAAGCCATCCCGGTAGACTGGATAAGAATCCTCAGGAAAGGCCCCCAATTAAAAGAAAGTGATTGGGTAGGTTTCCGAGGAAAACCCCAGGAAATGTGGTCACAACAGATGGGAGGGGTTCAGTACTGCTCTCAATATTCTCCATAAACCAAAACAACAGGCTGGAAGAGAGCCCCACTAAAGAAACCAGATGGGTAAAAACTGATCAGGTTTTTAGGATTAGAGTTCTGGAACAAAAAGGCGTCTGGTATGCCTTCAAACCAACATGCGCAATCAATAAACTACCTATGGACCCTATCGATTGGACCTGGTCAGTCCCCATGAGGAATCAGAAAAGCTGTACCGTGAAACTTCACTCCCTCACGGTTAAATCAACATAATGCTAAGACCCAGATTGAACTTGCGAGATCGGGTGGAAGACAGGTGGATGAGACAGTTGAATGTGAGAAAAGAGAATCTGAGAAAAATCAAATGGTTCAAAACTAGTAGGACCCGACCCTCAAAAATTGCCTCACTACAGTGGCAAATTGACCATCGGTGCCTTCCCACCAATGACTGGCTCATAGACAGGACCTCACTGGAGGAAAAAGGACTGGCTCTACCCTGGTGCAAATTGTGCTCCTCTGTGTTCCCATCAAGAAACATCCCGGAAACCATAGAACACATTTTCCTTCAATGCCAAGGCGCAGTCTGGTTATGGCGTTGGTGGGACAGGATCTAGAACTCCCTTGACACCTCTACGGAATGGCCATGGGATTGGCGGGCTTTATTATGTGAGACATGGACACCAGATCAGCTGGACGATTTCTCAAGTAATTTATTCAAAATCAGCAGCTATTCTTTGGGCCCTCTGGAACCGTCGCTGCACTTTCGAAATGGAAGAAGCCAGATTGGATGGTCCTGAACTCACTGAAGCAATCAAAATACAGATTCAGACAATCATCACAGTTCAATGGAATAAAACAAAAGAAAAAATCCAATTTCTCTTGCAAGAGAAAAAAATCCAACAACAAATTCAACTATTCAGTGGCGCTTGGCTGGGGGGACCTCAAGGAGGTAAGATTGGAAGGATTAGAGAAAGTGGGGCAAAGGAAAAAAGCAAGGAAGGGCAGGAGACAGTGGTATACAGAGATTATTGCCTGTCTTTTCTGGACTGGACAAATGTGGACGCAATCCCTCTTCACCCAGTATCAGAGTTCCCAGATCCATTTCCCCCCTCTTCATTGTCATTAGTCCCTATAAGTTGGTATGGGTGTGACTGAGGGAGAGATGGGTGGA